CACCCATCTAGTTCAACATTCTATGTCACACAGTAGGCTGGAGGGTGCTACTTCCCTTCGGCTGTTGTTCCCCAGCAACCAGGACATAAGGCACGCTGCCTATAATTAAGGAGGTAGTAAACAACAAATCAATATCAGTAGCCATTGATAGTCTGATCCTTCATGAACTTGTCCAGTGTCCTTTGAATAGCATCTAAATTGGCTGCCATGACTACAACTCCTGGTAGCAAATTCTGCTGTCAGTCTGTCTAGCTGGCTGGCTGGCGATATCTAGCTAGCTATCATTTTGTTTACATACTGCTGGACTCAGAAAACATCTCCCAGCAATTCACATCATCAAAAACATAAAAACATAATAAAAATCTGAAAACCAGTAAAAGCTCACATCTGCCATAATACAGTAGACATAATGGTGGCCATTCACTCCCCAAAGGCCCTCCTGTCTTTAATAATTTCCCGGAGGCCAACAATGAGAGTGCCAGACTAATTTACAGAAAAAAAAAACATAATTTGGGGGCTGCAAGTGACAAACATTGCCTGCAAGCCCCAGCCCCTTTTACCTCACCTAACTGGTGGACCATTAAAAGATGTTGATCAAGTCCTCACTGGATGAGTTGAGTAGGCTGCTTCTGGGCAAACAAGGCTGTCCTCTAAGTATCTCAGTGCCAAAGCATATAGGACTTCATAGGTCAAAACCAGCACTTTGAATTGCACCTGTAAATGTACTGGTAACCAGAGCAGCAACTGTAAAACAGGTGTTTGTATGAGCAACAAATTATTTTATTTCCTTCAGGGCACAAATACATATATAGTCATTAAAACTGTTAAATTTATAGCTAGGGCTGTCCAACTGAGAATACATTTTAAGGTGATGAACTCAGCTAAACACATACTGTTTTGTACTTTAGTACTCATTTTATGTCTCTATGTTCTATTTTATGTTACACTATTTTATCTCACTCTTTCATCTTTATTTTATCTTATCTTACTTTATCTTATCTTATTGGGGCTGATGCCAATTGTTTTGATATGGACTAATCAATAAAGTTAAAAAAAAAGAGTAAAGTGACTTTGATTCATTAATATATGGGCTACTGCATTTTATACAATTATAATTTCTAATGGTCTTCAA